CACAGCCCCCACAGCTCCTGAGACCACGGACCCCACAGCCCCCACAGCTCCTGAGACCACGGACCCCACAGCCCCCACGGCTCCCGAGACCACGGACCCCACAGCCCCCATGGCTCACCATACCATGGCTGGATCTCGTCAGCTCCCACCCTGAGCATGGGGCTTCATGTGGCCCTCCCCTGTGCCCTCCCCCCTCCCCAGGCTCTCTCCTGCCCCCTCCTCTGCCCCCTCTGGTACCCACCTCCTGTCCTCTTCCCCTCCTCCCTCTTCCCCTCACCCTAGGAACTGGGCCTCTGGACTGTGGGATCTGGGTATGGGCTGGTGCCTTGGGTGCTGGGCAGGTGAGAGGGCATGTGTGTGTTTACATGTGGGTGTGTGCAGTTGTGCGCATCTGCTGACCACGCTGGGCCAGCTCTGGACGGTGTGGAGTCAGTGTTGGTGGTGGTAGATGTTACAGAGCTGTGGTTATTAACCCAAGTTCACCCAGAGCAGCTGCTCTTTTAGTATAGAAGCAGTGCTGCTGGGCGCCGGTGGCTCACCCCTGTCATCCTAACTACTCAGGAGGCTGAGACCTAAGGATTTTCAAAGTCAGCCTGAGCAGGAATGTCTGTGAGACTTATCGTCAATTAATCACAGAAAAAGCTGGAAGTGGCACTGCAGCTCAAGTGTAGAGCACCAGCCTCGAGCACAAAAGCTCAGGGACAGTGCCCAGACCCTGAGTTCAAATCCCACGACCAGCACAAAACCCCAAACAAGTAACACCAAAAGGCAATGCTGCCCAGAAGTGTTGAGAGGAGGAGGAGGGTGCCTGAACCCCAGGAGGCGCTGTGCTGCCGGCACTGTGGTCATCCGGGAAGCGAGGCCGTGCTCCGGCTGCCCCCGCCTTCCCCCCAGGCACCCCCCCACAGCAGCAGCAGCCCACATATCCACAGATCTGACCGCGACAAACAAGCTGACCAGTCTCCAGGGCCTCTAGAGTCGGAGGCAATACGCACTGAGCGCCGGGGACCACCCGAAACGTCCAGAGAGCAGTCGATCTACAGATGGAGCCAGGCTGGGCCCTCAGGCACAGGGGAGAGCAGGGTGACCGAAAACTCACTGGAAAAGCGCTCTGTTGCTTACCTCTCAGTGCCAACCGGCTAGGTCATAGCCCGCTTGCCAACTCAGATCCGGAGCGCTGCCGTGAAGTACTTTCTGGTTCTGTCCATGGTTAGTTTGCCCTCCTGCGGAGGGGTGGGCCCGGCCAAGGGGTGATGCCTGGGAGTGAACCGCACAGACCGCTTGCTGGAGCCTCGTCTTAGAAAGCGCGTGCAAACCACACGGGCATCCTGGAGCCACACAGTCACGGCTGCCCAGCACTGCCAAGCGATGGTGACTGCTGATCTGCGTGGGGACGGGGCCGTGACGGGTGGGCTCTGCGTGGTGTCTGCGTGGGGACGGGGCCGTGACGGGTGGGCCCTGAGTGGGGACGGGGCCGTGACGGGTGGGCCCTGCATGGGGACGGGGCTGTGACGGGTGGGCTCTGTGCTGTGGGCTCTGCGTGGGGACGGGGCCGTGACGGG